AATCCAATGGCTCCCTAGGACACACCATCTACCAGAAGAAAACACACACAAACCGCTATCTGCACGCTCTCCCACACCACCACCCAGTACAGATCAACTCTGTAGCCAAGACACTCATCTCCAGAACAAAACGCTTAGCTGACAAACAACACCTAAAACCCGAACTACACACTCTCACCAATGTACTAACATCCAATGGATTCCATAGAAATAAGATTACAAACCTAATCCAAAAAGAAAACCCCACTAAAATCCAAGACAAAGAACAAGAAAACGGCAAAGCCCTCCTCCCATACATAAAAGGCACAACAGACAGAATCAGTAAGATCCTTCATAAACACAACATCAAAACAGCATTCTGCACAAACAGAAAAATATCCACCATCCTTAGAAACCCCAAAGATAAAATTGAATTAGAAAATCAAGGAGTATACGAAATCCCATGCACCACTTGTCCCACCACATACATCGGACAAACCAACAGAAGAATAAGTGCACGAATTGAAGAACATAAGAACTCAATCAAAAAAGAGGAACCAACATCTTCCCTGGTCCAACACCTTAAAGCTACAGGACATGAAATTGACTTTAAAAATACCAGAACCATTGCCAAAAGTGAACATTTTAATAACAGAATAATCAGAGAAGACATCGAGATAGAAAAACGCCCACACAGCATGAACAAGCGAGATGATACCTCCCGCCTACCAGCCATTTGGAAACCCGCCCTCATTGACAAATGACTCCCTAACACAAAAAATGATACCAGACACACACTCACAAAAACCACACAGGAGGTCACCACCAAACATCCACGCAAAAAACAAACCCAAAGCCACACTGACTATGAGGCACGACCACAAACCAGAAGCCAGACCACAGCTGCATCATTAGCCACTTTAAACCCCCCCAATCCATACATGAAGCAAACTGACACCTCCATGAAGAGGAAGCACGACCACGAACGCGAAGCCAAGGAATGGCAGGGCAGCCCAAAATCTTGAATCCCTCTGCAACTCAGACTAACCTGAGCACAACCAAACAGAACACTCCCCCAGCCAATCAGAGCACAGCCAACCCCCCAGCCAATCAGAGCACAGCCAACTCCCCATCCAATCAGAGCACAGCCACGCCCCTAACCAATCAGAACACACCTCCACCCAATCAGAACACAGCCAAGCTCCCACCCAATCAGTTCATACCCCCACTGGCAGTTAAAAGGAAGAAACAGCTAAGACCACAAATTGCTGCTCGAGGCACGAAGCTGAAAGCACCAGCCTGAAGATGACGAATGGGACTTCGTCGAAACGTCGCCAAGACACTTCCAATTTTACGTGGGAGAAAACCCGAACAACCAAAGACCTACATACATACATATACATATATAAATATACACACATACACACACATACATACACACACACAAACACACACACAAACACACACACACCTATAATAAAGGTAAAAAAGGATATATGCAGTGTTATCTTCATTTTAGATATCAAAATGGTTTTGCGGCTCCCAGTGTTTTGTTTTTGGTGGGAAACGGGTCCAAGTGGCTCTTTAAGTGTTTTGGGTTGCCTACCCCTGGTTTAGGTCAATGAGAGAACTAATTTATAGATGACAAGGCCGTTTGCGCCTGACTCATGGATCTCATCATAGGTCCTGACCGACCAATCAGCGCTCTGGTCCTAATCTCCGTGTTACTAGTCAATTTGCACTTGCTTCTCTTACCTGCGCACATACTGCTACTCACCTCCCTCTCCTCCTCCTGTATCCATGAACTAGGAGTATACCCTATCTCCGAACAGGCACACAATCCAAATCCTTGGGATGTTTCATCTTCTCACCCCTTTCACTGGGGTGCTCCATCACAGTGGATTTTTTACTACTTCCATCCCTTTCCTGTCCATTGCTCTCACTACCGTCCCTCCTACCATGAGGTTCCTTATTAGACACCCTGCCTTGACCCACACTATCAGATGTTTCACCCTCCTCTGTCATACCTCCGATGGTCCCACAATCACCATTTTTTCCAGCAGTTACCATCCTTCCTCCCTCAGTCCCAACGTTGGTAAGCTCCGAAATGCCATGGGGACTAGTTCGAAGCCCCCATCGTCCCAACCGGGTGAATGGGGCGAGGGGAGATCTCAGATATATCTGTCTTGATGCTGCATTAGATCGATCACTCCCATCCTCCCCCCCACATGGGGCGTGGTGCGGTCATCGGTCCATTGGCCATTCCTTCCTTTCCATTCATCCACTGCGCTATTCTTCGGGAGCACATGATTGCACCCACGGCAAAATGGAGCTGGTTGCCTCCCCCTCGCATTTCATTTTGGCACATCGGGCATTTCGAGGGGTGCGCTGGTGATCCTGGCTCACGTGGTGATGACCTTATGTCATACGGAATTCTCTCCATTCCCCGTGGGTGTGCATGTACCTTTGGTGCACAAGTGGAGTTGGGAGTAGCAGTAGGAATGTCAATACGGGCGTGGGGGATGGCACAGTTGATGGTGATCATTCCGTGTCCTAACGCGTGCTTACGGAGTTGTCTCCTTCGAGCACCCCCCATAACCTGACGGGGTGTTTGGATTACCAGGAGTTGAATCATTGATGTTAATGGGCTGTTTCGTTCATTGTAGGTGTGAGTGCTCTCTTGCGGGTGGGCTCTAAGGCTGGCAATCGTGCATTTCCTCGATATCGGTGGAACGTTGGGATCGGGGGCTCCTCCCCCCTCCGTTCCTCTCTCTAGTGGCCAGAGGATGTTACCAACCTGCCTACTCCGTGGAGGTCGAGCACGCGCCTCCCATGCCCTCAGCACCAAATGGGCTTGGCACAGGTCCACATGCCTGTTGATGGATTCTCCGCCTGAGAGCCAAGCCTCTTTGAGTAATCTGCCATTTTTGTATTGTCACTAGCAATCACTCGAACACCATCAAAATTGAACCTATGCCCAGATTCCATCATGTGTGACCACATTTGGGAATATTGCTCCCCTCTTTTTATGGCCAGCTTGTGCTCGTGGACCCTTGTTTTGACTCTTTTCGAGGTCTCACCCACATAATTACTGGGGCAATCATTGCAACTGATCATATATACAACCCCCGATTTCTCTGCCATGGGGAGTGGGTCCTTAGCTCTCATAATGCTAGAGTGCAGCGTCCGATTAGGTTTGTGTGCTACCCTCACATTGTAGGGTGCCACCTAGCTGTGGCCTCCGAGACGTTACTGATATAAGGGAGGGTGACCCGGGCAACCTGTGGTGGTAGTTCTTCCATCTGTTGGTTGTTTGAAGGTCTGGATAGTATGCCATGGCGCCTGATAAACTTCATTGGGTACACGTTGCGTCTGCATACGTGGAAGAGGTGTTTTCTTTCCTCCACTTTAGCTCTAGCTGTATTGCAGTGAGAGTCTACTCTCTTAAAGAGTGTTCTAATACAGCTGACTTTGTGGGCCATCGGATGGTTACTATCGTGATGTAATATCTTGTCAGTGTGCGTCGGCTTACGATAAACTTTAGTTTGGAGGGTTCCATCCGGCTGGCGATGGACTAAAACATCTAAAAATGCCAGCCTACCCTGATGTTCTTCCTCTTCCATGAATTGTATATCCGCATACACTGAATTAAGTGCGCCCACAAAGTCAGCTTTTTGGCTCTTCTTGATGACCACAAATGTGTCATCCACATAGCAGGCTCAGAATTTGGGACAATACCGGGCCAACGCTACTCGCTCTAACTGCTGCAATACAGCTTCTGCTATGATGCTCGAAATTGGGGACCCCATGGGAGTGCCCCTCACCTGTTCGTACATAGTGCCCTGAAATGTAAAGTATGTTTTGAGACAAATTTCCAAAAGATCCACCAGGTCCTCAGGTCGGAGAGAGTCTCGTTACTTTCCTGGTGTTCATGCTTGTTTGTTGTTCAACATATATATATATATGAATTTTGATTACAGTCTAAATCAAATAAACTAACTTTATATTCCCTCATTTTATGTATATCTTTAGTCCATTTAAATATTCTCATAGGCTTTAATTTCTTTTCAATTCTTTATTCCAGGGGTGTCAAACTCGCAATGTCACGTGACATGTCACGACGTATCGCAACTTTTTTCCCATTGCCGGCAATGGGGTGGGCACGGTTTCACTATGCATCTGGCCCGCTGGCCGGCAGTTTAATACCCCTGCTTTAGTCCATTGCACAGATTTATTCGAAAGCCTCTTTTGCAGATCCAATAAGAAAACATTTTCCAGGTCACTCTCTTGATTTGTCACTTGACTTTCTCCTTTAATTTTTAAAACTTCAACCAGTTTCTTTTGTATATCCAGTCAAGCATCCTTTTCCAAATTATTCTCTTGGCCTCTTATTTTGCTTTCACTTTTGATACTTTCTTTGTCTTGTCAGACAACATTTGCCCCACACCTGTCATTCCCTCATAGACATCTTTTGGACATAATCAATAGAGGGCATCACATTTCATTACTGATGCTATAGATACTATAACTACTAATTTCTGGCTCCATTTCTCAAGCATCTCCTTTAATATTTCCAATGTTATAATGTTATGTATCATTTTATAAGTTCCAGTTAACCAACACCAAAAGCTGGCTTGTATTTTTTTCCCCTTGTACTTAGAATCTTTAGTCCTTCTTATATCCAGTTTCTACAATCATAAAGTTGCTTATCTTTGTGATGAACCAAGGGGGACAAAGTAACTCTGGTTCCCACAAGAAGCTTTTTTTTTTTATAGTTAATTCTCAGATATTTTTTTAACTGAACTCTTAATTCACTTGTAAATTTCATAGATCAAAATCTTCTTTAGCTTTTTGCTGTTTATTTCAAATTCTTTAAGTTTTTAAACTGGTGATTAATTTTTCTTTTGTTCAGAATTGAAGATAAACTTCTAGTTGTTTTTGCCCTACATATTGAATGCTACAAGGTATTTTTAGAATAAACCATGCTGATTTTTCCTGATGATTTTTATTTTTTCTGCCAGGAATTCATCACAGCTGTCAGTTGTCCAAGTGAAACGGTGCATTGGTGAATATGGTTTTAAACAGCATCCATGTTGCTTTTGTTCTTTACCTGGGTGAGTTTATGGCAAGATATATTTGTGGCACAATGGAGCTGTCATTTGATCTCTTATTTTCCTGTCTGCAGCCTAACAATTTTCATTTATTTTCATAACTTTTGCTGTGGGGAAAAAAAAAGTCCCACTGGGTGATTTTTAGCAGTTCATCAGCATATACACTGAGATGTACTCACAATGGCCAGCATGAATTATCTATATAGAAGTTCTAATGTTAAGGTGGGAGACCTGTGGCCATAAGATACAGTGACCATACATCCTTTAATGTAAAGAACTGTCCTTTATGTTTACATAATTTAATGATTTATTGGTTTTTCCTCTTGAGTTTTCTTTTATAAAGTTATGAACACCATTTTATCCTTATGAATCTCTTTCAGGTTTGCTTCTTTTCCAAGTTTATCCTTTTTCCCCCAAGAGAGTATCGTAAGACCAACATACAACCCTCAATATAAGCATAACAAAAGCAATTACTTCAAAGGCAGAAGGAAAAAGAAAGAGACTAGTGAGAAGAATGTGAATCTACTCATTACTTGTTTTGGCCAATACAGGTTTACCTTTCTCCTGGAAATGCTCTAAATCTTTGTCTAAAAAGAGCCTGAATATCAACTGGTATTTCCCCTGATATTCTGGAACAGAAATAAACCCATATTCAAAAGTATCCCAATGTAAAAGCATAAAACAGTTGCAAAAACCCAAAGAGTTTTTGATCAAACGCTACAGTAAATCCAATGGTCTAGCCATCAGTTAAAAATTCACTTGTTGGTGTCCCCGTAAGTTAAGCTTCCAATTTTCCTGGAATTGCATGAGAGACCCTGTGGATTTTTTTTTAGTCCGCTAATCGCTGTCTACTATAGAGGGCAGTGCTCATTTTCATTTCAAGGTCATTGAGCTACCATTGTCTGAAGATGTTTCCACAGTCATGTGGCTAGCATGACATCACAGAGCACTGTTACCTTCCCAACAAAGTGGTACCTATTTATCCATTCGCATTTGCATGCTTTCGAACTCCAAGGTTGGCAGGAGGTGAGGTAAGGATGGGGGCTTGCTACATCGTGGGATGCTCAGGTCTCAAACCTAGGCTGTTGGCTTTCTGCTAACTGTGTAGGCTCATGCCCACTCTGAACAATCTCTATGATTTTGGATCCAAAATGCAGCACATTTCCTATGAAAAAGTCCACTGAGAAGTAGGGTTACTCTTTTTTAGTGCACTGATATCTATGCTCACAAAGAACAGAATTTTGACATTACCAGCAGGTTTGCTACATCACCACTAAATCCAATTAATCTGGATTAATTGGAACCTGCAACTAAGGAGAAACTTCCTGACAGTGAGAACAATTAATCAGTGGAACAGCCTGCCTCCAAAAGCAGTAAATGCTCCAATACTGGAAGTTTTTAAGAAGAGACTGGAAAGCCATTTGTCCGTAATGGTGTAGGGTTTCCTGCCTGAGCAGGGGGTTGGACTAGATGACCTCCAAGGTCCCTTCCAACTTTACTACTATTACAAATCTCCTTGGATTTAAAAACTAGACATAACCATCTTCTATGGTAGTTTATACAAAATAATGACGTGCACATTTCTCTTCCTTGTCTGGAGACTGATCAATTTATTCATTTCTCCTTGACCTTGCTTTAAAACAAATAACTTGTACAGTGACAAAAACTTTTGCAAATTACAGACTTCTTGAAAACTCCAGAGTAAATCAGCAGATACTTAAAATGTAACGAATAACATAAAAGGCCAATATAGTACAGTGACTCAGGTTATAAACTTCTCAGAAACATAAGGAAATCTCATTTGTTTCTCATCGTTGATTTTCTTTTATTCTTCCATTATTTTGACCCTCTAGCTCTTCTAGGGGCAATGTTTTCCGTGAGGGCTGAAAAGCTAAATGTCATTGCTGGCCAGTCTGTCTTCCTTCGCTGTCTAAATAACACATCTGCACACAAAGTGACCTGGAAATATAATGGAAAACTTCTGCTACAGAAAATTAAAGAGCGAGTATATAGAGGTAAAACTGGTTGAACTCTTCCATATATAACCAATAAAGAGAGATAGGAGTCTTTGTGTTTAAGCTTTAATTTCATCCGGTTCTCTTTTCTTCAAAGGTGAAAAGTCTGTAACATACAAATTGACAGATGAGGAGACTTTTTCTCTAGAACTGCGAAAAGCAGAACCAGGAAAATATGTCTGTGATGTAAATGGAAAGCAGGTGGCCACTTATGATATTGAAGTGTGGAAAGGTGAATGATATAACAGAGATCATGAAATCTGCCTCTCTGTCTATCTCTTGTTCTCTCTGCTATTGAATGAGTAATTAAATAAATAAGTTATCCCTGGGAGGAGGCACGAGAAGGAAATTTTACCAGTAGGCCTTCTTTCTTTCACAGTTACTGGATCTAAAAGTGGATACCTCCTGCAAGGCGACACTTTAAAGCTGCATCTGTCTCCTTTCAAAGATACCAGGATTGAATGGTTTGAACCCCACAAGACCAAAGTAACAGACAAAGAGCCACGATGGAAACTGCAAAAGGATGGCTTACAGATATCAAACCTTACAGTTCAGGAGGACCATGGGAGGTGGGAATGTCACATCCCTCATTATGAGCTTAAGCTCTCCTACAATGTCAAGGTATTCGGTAAGAGAAGTCACTAAATTTGGTTCAAAGAGCCTGCAACGTGGGTTCCCTCAAAGTCTTTCCTCATAAAAAGTTCAGCATCGACCATAATTTGCTCTGCTAACTGCTTCCAGTATCACTGCATTTTGCCAAGATAAGGTTACTTCACCGCTGACTCTTTTTCTGGAATTTACATCCTATGTTAACTCACAGTTATGTTACAGATAGGATAGAATGATATTGTTGTCTATTCACTACAGCCCATTGTCTATAGTGATTTTATCAGATTTATTTTTTTGTCAAAATGTTGCAGTAAAAACTTCAGAAACCTCTTTTTCCAGTGTGCCCAAGCAAAATTATTGTTAAGCTTCTCAGTGGCCCTTGGGGTATCCCAAAAACAGTGAGGGAGCTTGAACTGGGAATGTATTCATTTTTTTAACAATTTCCCTGTATTTTATTTTGATATCTTTCTCATCCCTCCAGGATCTAGTCAGTTTCACTACTCTAGTCTAGAGGATCTTGCTAGTTCACAATCATGGCATGGTTTGCTTTTCCTTTCTCTGGAACTATTTCTGCCCTTGTGGCTTCCCATCTTCCCATTATTAACTTGGGAGATTCCCAAATTGACTGTGAGAAGGGGGGCAGATGAACTAGACCTGAAGAGAACAGACGTCAGATCCTCCCCATTCCTTCTGCAATATCCAGACTCATGGAAGTTTCCCTACAAGCTGCCGGCTTGCTAAAATGGGCTGGTTGCAACCCAGGATAAGAAAAACCTATTACTTTGCCTATAATAATGAGTGACACGTTCACAAAGCAAGAAAATCCCTTTCAGCATTAACCCGAATCAGCCCCAGAGTAAGGATTAGCTCAGAGGGAAGCAAATGTTCTGCCATCTCAAGGTTAGCACTTTAACTCACTACTGTAGAGGGGAAAGGGCCATAATCTTTTCCTACAGTGAACAAGCAGCAATGTACACAATTCTGATCATACGTTACTTTCTATTTTGGTCGGACATAAAATCAGGTTTTTCCAATCGATTGGATGAATTCAGGTTTGCCTCTATCAACAGCAACATCCTCCTTTCCTGTCCTTTGAACATTGACCTGCAGGAAAAAACAGACTGGGAAATTCCAAAAGTCCAGTCTTGGAAATGGCTTAAGAATAATGTTCTCGTGAAGGACCATAACATAAGCAACATCAATAGCTCTTTCTCCATCCATCAAATATCCAATGTCCAATCTGAAGATGCTGGAAAGTACCAATGCCGTCTTGGATTTAAAGATAGAAATTTGAGCAAAACCATCAACCTGATAGTTATGAAAGGTAGGAATAAATCTCAATCTGTTTGACAGTAACATGCAATTTCAGCTTACTATATTAACCGTGGGTGCTATTGTCTTTGAACATCAACACAGCCATTTTTTAACATTTTTGAAACTCAACCTTCAGTTAAGAACAAAATTCAAAGCATCCTTCTAAATAGAATAGAATAGAATAATAACTTTATTATCACTTTAAATGTACACTAATCGGCATACATTAAAATGAAATTTCATTGCATTCAGCTCTGAAAGGGTCACCACCTCCGATATACACTACATAAATATGACATAAATAAATAAATACAGAATTATGCATATACACACATATATTATATGACACAGAGAAACAACAGTCTAGTTCAAGTTATGTATGCATGTGCATGGCGAGAAAAACGAATCTTGTGAGTTTACCAGATAGATGGCATAAATTAGGGCATCTCCATTTAAGCTGCTTTCCTTTTTCCATATAATGCACAGATGCACTTCTATAAAGCACTGTTTTTCACTCCCAAAGCTTTGGAATAATTTTGAAAAGTATCCCAGAATCCATTGTGCTACACTCCTTTCTCTGCTTCAGGTGAGAAGTAGATGAGGAGCATTGTCCTTACTATTTTAATGTAGGACAAGTAAAAGGAACCATTGGTGGATCCTCCTGGCTTTGTTTTCCTCCCATGGAGGGTTGCCTGCTGGGGCTGAAAAACCACAGTCGTTCCCATTAGCTGGTGTGGAGCGAAGTAGGTCACATTAGTCATGGGGTTCAGAAGAGTCAGTTCACTCAAGTTGCCCGAGTAAGAGGATGCAGGCATTGATGTGTTCTGGGTCTGAGTTCTGTCAAGTCAGACTATTTCAGAAGCACTGTGACCAAAAATAGCCAATCTGACAGGTTGCAGTATAGGTACACAACTCACAGCTCATAAAAACTGGCACTTCCAGGTTGAAATCAACCTTTTGTGCAGATAGGTCTAGCATTCACTCCAGAAAGCACTGGTTCTGTTTTTAAATACAGACGGAGGAAGTGCTAAATTGGTGCATATAAGGAACTATAAATGGAACATTTTCCTTTCTTGTTCATTTGCACTTTCAGGCTAAAGGATTATAGAATTTAATTGATCTGCAGCTTATGCTAGATGTCTCAAGACCTCTCTCCTGAGGCTGTGTAACTCTGCATTACAATGATTATATCACTACTGACCATAGGAATCACTTAGGTGAAATGGGCAGCATATAAATTCGATAGATGAATAAATGAAGGAAGGAAGGAAGGAAGGAAGGAAGGAAGGAAGGAAGGAAGGAAGGAAGGAAGGAACGAACAGTTTTGTTCTTTTTGAAACTTAACAGACAGGTTATCAGAGCACATAGGTTTTATGCGCTCAACCCTTTACCCAGTTTGAACTTGTACATACAAGGCCTGCATTAGACACGTGTCTCACTTATGCTGACTCCTACCATTGTGGCCATGGAGGACAGTTCCCATGACCAGAGGACAGAAGACATGCATGTCTAAAATGGCCAACAGGAGTTGAGCAGTTTTCGATCCAAGGAATAGGTGATGGTGTGGGGGAGGATGGAGACACAGGGATGTAAGGATGGTCCCTATATAGAAAAACTCTACTGAAGAACTTCAAGACAAGTCAGCTCACTACAGCTGTCCCAAACAGCTTAAGGTTTTAGAGATAAAACAGCAGGAAAATACAATGCTTTTGATAAAATGATATCCCATTCCCCCATCCTAAAGCAGACCTTTAAGTTTAATGAAGGAAATGAGGTATACTCGTAGTTTAATGATCATATTATTATTGATGGGAAAACATTTTCTTTTCCATTTGCATAACTTCATAAAATAAAGTTTTATTTTATGTGGTACATTTACTGTGGGAGCTTCCAGGGAGCTTATTTTGACATGTGATGCTTTACTATACAAGAGATTGCCCTATTCTGAACTGGCAGATGCTTTTCCTAGTAAGGTGGAAGGTGGCTATCTACTTTATTAAGTCATGCAACATAGCGAGCTATTATACCATTTAGTAAATTCAAATCAACTTTGAAAAGTAAGGTATGAAGTATGAAGCTTAAAAAAATCTATTTCCCATCCTGTCTTATAGAAATAGGTAATCCTTGATTTATTGCCGTAACTGAATCTGAAATTATGGTCATAAGTCATTGCAGTTGAAAGTTGAGGCATCATGTGACTGGACCCAATTTTCTGAGCTTTTTCCAATGGTTGTTAAGTGAACACCATCATGGCTAAGTAAATGCTACAGCTGTGAAGCAAATCAATTTTCCCCAGTGGGCACTTTTGCAGGAACCAAGCACAAATCTTGGTCACATGATGCTTCATACAGGTATAAATGTGAGCTGGTTGCCAAGCACCCAAATGCAATTGTGTGATTGTGCAAGGCCATTGTAACTTTGAAAATGGTCATAAGTAGCTTTGGGGGGGGGGGTCTGGCCAGTTGTAATTCAAGAATTAAGGACACATTTTGATGGGACCTTGGTTGCTGTGCTTGCAGTCTGATCTGCAGCTGGGGAAACGTCTAGCTGAGAAATAAAGATAATTCCTCAACTTTATTGCTAAGATTAAATAAAAGGGCTCTGACTTTGGATGGGGGCAATGAGACTAGAAGAAGAGTTGATTCGATGGTTCAGTCAATATAGTTTGCACAGGATTATGGCTAAAACACCTGAAGTATTTGCTAATTATTCTGAGCTACTTATTTTCTGGAAACAGGCTTCTGAAAGTTGAATATGTAATTGAACAGCTACATATTTTGGTGCCAATATATGGGAAAAACTTGAATCATCTTTGCATACTGCTGATTTAAGCTGTGTTTATATCCTCTGATATCATCAATTCTATCTTCTTTCCATTGAGAGGGACTCATTCCAGTACCATGAACAGCCTAGTACTTTAGATCATATGATAAAATATTCTTCATGGTAAGGAATGTTCTCTCCTAGATCTTGTAAAAACTGTTTCCCTAATATATTTTTCCTGCTTTCCCTCCAGTCTCTGCTGTCCCTCCCGCGCTCAGATTCAAAGAAGACAATGTGACCCTGTGTGGTCATATTAGTCCTTCTGCTCCTCCACTGACTGAATTGTGCTGGGTTTATGTAAATGAGTCTTCAAATGAAACCAAATGTGGCTCTCCCATTTCACATAATAAATTCTGTCACGTAGCTACAACTGAAGGGCTCTGGAGGTGTGATCTCAAAGTGAACAACAATGTGAAAATCAGTATTGACTATATTCTGGGTAAGTTCCAAGGTAAGTAACACTACCATCTTGTTCCTGACTCCGTATCTGTGCACATTCTGTTCTCAACTTCAAATCTTTTTCCCTCCCCCCACAGGAAAGACCCCAAATGAGACTACTTTAGAGAATAGATTCTCACTGATCAAAATAGGCTCAGGGATTGGCACAATGCTCCTGCTGTTAATTCTTGTTGGTGTCTGTGTACCTACTTGTAAACGTATTAAGCAGAAACAGGTGAGTTTCTACCTGTCCATAAACCAAAAGGGAGGTTGCATTCTACAACGAAAAAATACAAAACAAAACAAAAACCATGGAAGCAGATCTGAAAGAACATGAAAAAAGGATAATCTTTCCTTTGTCTTTTGGCAGCAACGAGCCAAGAGGATGGCACAAATCAAGCAACATTTGCTTGCCAAGAGGACATGCCAGTGTCAGAGGTAAGGATCCAGTTGCCCAGCCAAGAGGAAGACATTGCAGATATTGTTTTGAAAGACCTTTGGTTAAGCTGTCCTGGGATGAATCAGTCCATCTGGACCTGCAATCCAGCAGATTCAAGACACCACAGTTATTATTCTTTACTAGAAAGACATATTGCATCTAACAGATTCCTTTTCTCTTGCAGTAACAAACCAGAATCAAAAGGCCTCAAAATAATAACCCTATTGTGCCTTTAGCTTTCAGCTCTGCCAATTAAAATTTGTCATCTGCTTATTATTCAACTAAAATTGCACTTGAATTGGCTACCAGTTAAATCAAATAAAGCTTGCAGACCCACAGAAATTCAGAAATAAATCATGACTAAATTAGACAGCCATGCAATTTCATCAAAGGTCTCATGAGCAATCATTCTTCAACAATTCACTTTTATGCTTTTTTAAAACAGCAAGTATCCCACTGTGCAGTTTATATCGCAAAACCAAGTATATTTATCTACAGGAAATCTTAAACATTCCCATGTTTTCCACTGAGCCTAAATTTTGGATAACTCTTTTTCAACCCTACAGGGAACTACCTAATGATTACTACCACGCCTAAAGGAGAAAATGCGTGTGTCTTTAAAAATCACTGGCCTGACCATTTGCCAGTCATTTACAATGCACAGTTACATGAATTCAAATATTGCTGGGTTGCCTTAACTTTCTATCTGATATTCATAGTTCTGTAATCATTTAGGCAAGTCTGTATTTTGAAAGTGTGGAGCTTGCAGAAAATATTGACCAAAAAGGGTTCATCCTAATTGTTTCTAAGTTGTCTAATAGCCGACTGCTGTTTGAACTGATCTGCAGTTCTGCTGTCTACTGCAGCTGTAAATGAACAAAGATGTGTTGTTTGTTTTTAAAATTCCACAAAATAAAATACTTATATCTTTCCCCCCAACTCCACTGGTTAATTCATGTATATATCTACAGATATTTGCTTGCACTTATTGTGTAGTCTGCAATGTTTTCTGAGAGAATATTCTGTCAAGAATGGTGATCAGAGAAAAGCAATGTTTTTTTAAATGATATAATTATAATGCTAATAAATTAACGCATTTCAAAGGACAAATTCCTTTTTACTGTTTGGAAAATGCTGGCGGTGGGTGGAGAGGAAGAGGCTTCTGCAGTCTGAAAGGTGCTATTATGTAGAGAATTCCACTGATGAGTTACAAAAACAACTGGAAAACTATCTCCAATCTACCTTGGCTGTTTCCATTGCTTTGTTTTATTCCTTAAAGCATGGATCTCCAAACTTGACAACTTTAAGACTTATGGACTTCAATTCCCAGAATTCCCCAGTCAGCATGGCTAGCTAAGGAATTCTGGGAGCTGAAGTCCACAAGTCTTAAAGTTGCCAAGTTTGGAGACCCCTGCCTTAAAGGAAAAAAAAACCTTAGTTCTATCTCTTGATATGCATCACCACCACAGCTCTAAGATGTAAGTACTGAATGTAAACATAGGGAAAAATTACTGTTGCTTGATTGTTTATTTTCATGATCTCCTATGCTTATGATTATGCACAAAAACAAGAAGTAAAAGCGCCTGTATTCATTCCACTGATACTTGTGAATTACATTTGAAATCTCAAGGTCTGAAGAGAGCCATGTATATATTTTAATGTTAATAAATATTCCTCAAAAACCTTAGTGTTCCCATTTTTCTTTAGCATTTGGCTGCACAAGATGCCATTTCTGAGGTCCTCTGTGATTTCAGAGCAGCTAAATCAGGTAGCTGGACTATGATTGCAGTGCTTTAGCTGAGATCAGATGAGCCCCAGGAAAATTGCCAGTCATATATAATTATAATTCAAATGCTGTCCCATTGAGACAAGGATTCAAATATACCAATTAAACACTTCAGAAACAACTTTCAGTTTTAATACAAGCATCCATCTTACAGAAGCAGGAGATGTTAGAATTTTGGTGACTAATAAAAATTGTAGTTGAAAACTCCTAGAACTACTATTATGGCTTAATTCAATTATTTCCAATAATACATCATCCTGCACTTCTGGGTCTTTTTTAAATCCATCGTTTCTTGTCCATCAAGCCATTGGGGACAGCAAAGATCAAGAAGCACCTTTTTCCTCTCAATACCCTTAGGTGTTCTGCCATTCTCTTGTAGACAGTTCAATTCCACAACTGAGTTTTACTCAACAATCTATTGAAGACAAGTTAACGATGCTTTAGTGAGATTCTTTCCATCTACCACCCTTTTCTTGGAAAATTCCTACTATGCACCTAACACACTCCCAGTCTATCCCTATATAGCAATATTTCTCAACCTTGGCTACTTTAAGATATGTGGACCTTCAACACCCAGAATTCCCCAGCCAGCATATCTTAAAGTGGTGAAGGCTGAGAAACATTGCTATATAGGGATCAAAATAAGCACCATACCATCAGTTCAGTTAGTACAAAAATATAGTTATGTTTATTAAATATTATGAAATATCAAAACCAGGGAGGGAGAGAGGGAGAGAGCAACAGGCAAGAGATAAAAAAGGTAGAGGATTTAATATCAACAATCTACATAATTGATATATTTATATTTCAAAACACACAAAACTTTCCAAAGCCACTAGGAAAAAAACATGTGGATAATTAGCACAAACCATTCCAAAGACAGATGCTTTGGGTTATGCCAGTTTTAAGCCTCTTTTGTACACAACACTGGAATAGAGGTGGAAAGTAGGGTAGTAGATAATCCTTCTCTTATTCCACACCAGAAAGGAAATAATTTGATGGATGGGGATGATGGACTTGTGTTTTCAATCCTCAAATCCTTAGAAATGTTTATACCCTGACCCTCAAAGTGTCCTCTTCACAGCCACCATTAAAATAGTGAAAAGACCATATTCTCCTTTCTGTTGATCTATCAACACAAACATCTGCCTCCATTCTGACCCCAATCCAAGATCTGTTTAGTTGGGCAGATGCCTTTGCAAACAGAGTCAGCCTAGATGTCATAAATGGACTCTGCAACTATGACGCCATTCCTCCTCTTCATATTAAAATAACAAAGCAATGATAACATGAAACCATAGCAGCTTCAGCAGCCTGGAAACGTGTGAGGCAAGAAAGCCTGAAAATATTGGAAAAGGGCCAAGTATGTAATAAGGTATTTTTTTATAAAAGAAAAACCCTCTCCCTCTGTCTGTCTGTCTGTGTGCTTGTGTGTGTGTGTGTGTGTGTGTGTTAGAGAGAGAGAGAGAGAGAGGGAGGGAGGGAGAGAGAGAGAGTGAGTGAGTCAATGCAGATGCAGTCCCAACTGGATCCCAAACCTGGTTGTGTTCTCATATAGCCACAAAGCCACATACCTGAAGCAACTGCCTAGATTAGCAGAATCTCATTTCATTTTCTCATGTTTTCCTGCTTTCTAGACTGATGCAGTAACTATTAGGCCAAACTGGCTCAGTTTCAAAGTTTTTATTTATTCATGAAACATATCGAGCTGCTTCAATCTTTAAAAAACCTTAAATAACTCAGAAAAGATAACAGCAACTAACCAGTGCAATATCAAGATATCTTGACTACTGCACCATAATCTGTAATTATCATATTAGATTTGTTGTTGTTGTTAATTGCGAAGTCGTGTCTGACCCATATTAGATTAGATCACGATAAAGACATTTAGTTTTGATAACTCCCACCACCCCCACCACTTAAGTCTCCAAGATTTCCAGAACATCTGGATCTCCACAACCTTCTGGAAGGCCACACCAAGGGAGGAGGGTCATCCAGACCTGGAGGGAGGGAAGCTACAGTATTCTAGAAGAGGGGAGCTCGAACAGAGAATGCCAGGTATCAGCCCCCACTCCCAGCAGCAGCCCTTCTGACCATGGCCTTATCTTAGAAACTCAATAGAAAATCAGCTTATGCTCCACAGAGGGTAGAGGCAGAGCAAGAGAACAACACTTTCATTTTCATTTGAAGGATAGCCAAAGCCCCATCCCTGCACAGAAATAGAAACCATATTTTTGTATCTCCACAGACTTCAGAACTGAGTCCTCATCAAGAGGTGCCATGTCCAGCTGGGAAACAGGTAAATTGTTCTCCCTTTCTGGAGGGTGTATATTTCAGCAGCCCCAACTGTTAAGATTTTATTAAACAGGCTATTTAAATAACCACTTTCCATGAATTGGATCAAACTGGATACAGATGAGACTGCATCAGTATCAACCATAAGATGGCAGCAAAGAGATACAGAAACCTTGTACTGATGTAACCTGCCCAAGCTACTCCATCCTGGATAAAAAGCCCAAAGTCATCATGACTGCTGGGCCTCTGATTTGTATTTGAGTCCAAGGCACCAGAACAGGTCTCCTTAGTGGAATGCAGCCATCAACACTTTAATTGTACAGATGTTGAGATGGGAGGAGGATAGGTCCCATTAACAAATACTTGAGGCTCAGGGACTTCTACTTACTTATCTACGGTTCTTGATTTCTCAGAAGGTAAACCAGCCACCAGAAGATTGCCTACAAAGAAATATAAAGATGACCTTGAAGAAACTATATAGCAGCCATTACAAAATCATTAGCTGATCCAGAAAAAAACGTTCCTGCTTGAGCAGGGGGCTAGACTAAACCTCCAAGGTCTCTTCCAGCTCTATTCTATTCTATTCTATTCTATTCTATTCTATTCTATTCTATTCTATTCTATTCTATTGACAGTAGGGGATGAGGGAGAAACTCAAGATTTGCCCAACTTGACTCTCTTGGGATTAAAAGGGAAGAAAAAGAATCCTGCCAAGCTTTCAAGATTTTGATATTATAGACCAGAGGTGGGGAACAATAGCCTCTTTATGACTTGTGGAGTTCAACTTACTGGCTGGCTCAGGAATCTGGGAGTTGAAGTCCACAAATCATAAAAGAGCCCCACCCATTATAGACTATATTGATAGAGTTCTATTTCTTATGGTCTTTGTTTCCTGACTAGTTTCTTTCAGAAAGTTGACATTTTCCATCCTTTTATTTTCTATCTTCTTTTTTAAAAAAATTACCAGCCTCAACATTCAAACTAACTAGAATGTGCTAAAAGTCCTTTATTTATTTCTTATTTCTTTAATCTGATGTGAATAACAGTTGCAGGAATAGGATGTGTCTAGTCTAGTGAAAAGAAGGACTGACATGATAGCAGTATTCCAATATCTAAGGTGCTGCCACAAAGAAGAGGGGGTCAACCTATTCTCCAAAGCACTAAAGGCATGAAAAGAAGCAATGGATGGAAACTAATCAAGGAGAGAAGCAACCTAGAATAAAGGAGAAATTTCCTGACAGTTAGAACAATTAATCAGTGGAATTGTTTGCCCTCAGAAGTTGTGGGTGTTCCATCACTGGAGGTTTTTAAGAAAAAGTGGACAGCCATTTGTCTGAAATGGCATAGTGTCTCCTGCTTGAACAGGGGATTGGACTAGGAGGCCTCCAAGGTCCTTTCCAACTCTGTTATTCTGTTATTCTCTGTCCTTTGCAGCTATTTTCCAAGCATATCCCTTTATTCATTTTCAAAATATAAAACAAAATGATACAAACAGGATGCTTCCTCAAAGATGTGGTTACTGTTGACCCAGTCATGCATGGGGATCTGCCTGGGTCTTCTTGGCCACTTCAGGATTCTGCAGGCACCCCACTTCTTCTCTGACTCCTGGGATTGATCTCTTTGACCAATTTGGCTTAGGTGCAAGAGAAATTGGACAGCTGGCTTCCATAGAGCAGCTGCCTGCAAAATGCTTCTGTCAAATCCTTCATACACAAGTTTAGGCTTCTCATAATTTGTCCTGTATCAAACTAGTAGGAATCTCTCTCCACTATGGCAAAAGGGCCAAAAGAGGGCTTCCTTAAGGCCAATAAGGCCAGCACAATTGGATGTCACTCTTTTTTGCTGGCTCAACACTGTTCAAAGTTTAAAAATTGAGAAGTAAAAAGGTAAAGGTTTCCCTTGCCCAGTTGCGTCTGACTCTAGGGGGTGATGCTCATCTCTGTTTCTTAGCCGAGGGAGCCAGTGTTGTCCAAAGACATTTCTGTGGTCATGTGGCCAGCATCACTCTACGCCGAGGCACAGGGAATACCGCTATCCTCTCATCAAAATGGTACCTATTTATCTATTTGCATTTGCATGCTTTTGGACTGCTAGGTGGGCAGGAGCTGGGGCAAGTGACAGGAGCTCACCCCACCATGCGGTGCCTCTTACTGACAATCTTCTGGCCGGCAAGCCCAGCCTCTGTATAATTTGCCTAACTTAGTTAAAATGTTAACATCCAGAAACGGAAATTAATTGGTCAAAGACACCTTTGGAGTTGATCCCAACATCTTGGTCTCTGGAGGAAGATTCCCGAGGAGCATCTGCAAGGGGGTCAGACACATCAGCTGGCACCATTGGGAGTTCCCCTGCTGTGCCATGGCCAAGTCAAAAACAGCATCTGCAGCAGCCCTTCACACCCCTGGCAGCCGCTCTGCGCCAAAGATCAGTGTAGTTCAGCTCAGCAATCTGTCTGTTGGCTGCGTATCAACTAATCAGAACAGGGAAAAACATAATGGCAATGTCATCCTCTTTTATGACCGGCTACATAAACCCTCCAGTGCATTTAGCTTGATATCAATCAGTGGTTTATGTTTTCCAAGAGGGAGCTTGCCCATTAGTTATTCTTACTGCAGTAGTCTCTGTATGATGGTATTCTTGACGTATGCCCTTTTTAGTGTATTTTTTCTATGCTCTAACTCCCCAATTACTAAAGTCTGTCTTCTCAGAAGAAAAATATGCCTCCTGTATCATCAGCCTGGCTCAAGCTGGATAACTAAAATCACATTGAGTATTCTTGCTATGGATGCACTTCACTTATATAATGGCATTAGAGTGCTCGCCTGAGACATCCAGTCCCATCAGAATAATTCTGGGCACACACACACAGCATTAAAGCCAATTCAGAATTATCAACATACATTTATGCACTTGGGATTATTGTCTCAAAGGGCATTAATCTGCAGATATCAACACAGGTTTTCATCTGTCATGTTGAGGATTAGATGGAGCTCTTCATAACCTCTTTTGGATTTTACTAACTTGAATCTTTTGATGTACATTTTTCCTCTCTTCTACACAGCCCTCCTTCTTACCATGCCCCTTTCCCCAGGTAAATAAATTTAATAATAAATAACTTTTTCTTGCAATTTCTGTCTTCAGTATACTTATTTTTGTTCTCTAGGGCCAGTGGTTCTCAGGGAAATATACGAAATCCCCCTATGCCCAAGTTCTA